CAACCGTACCGGGACGAAAGAGCTAAATTACACACGGGTTAAATTGCTTGCACTTGCGAGCAGCACGCCCCGCCTATTATCGTCCAATTTCGTCGTTGTTTTCGCCGAGACCGAATTCTCTTCGCTCCCTGGGCTGTTCGACTTTCCTCCGAAGGAGGAGAGAAACCATCTTCGCAATTTCTCGCCATGGTGAGAACGGATTCTTCGTTAGGCCTCCGTGTTCGTCCCATGTGTTTGCCAATTTGCAGACGTCTATTCGACGGGCATCGCGCGTGACGAGAATCGCGATCAGCTTAGCTAGCTTGTTCTACTCGCTTTATCGTTTGTTGCCTATCTACCTACGCATAGTTTGGATCAAACTCGTCTACGTAACGACTGTGAACTTCCTGATAAGCCAGCGATTCTTTCCGGTCGTTCGTGGCTCGAGGGATTGGCTCTAAACATGAACAAATCATGCGTAAGAAAAAGGGACTAAGTAGTGGGGGCAATCTTTTAGGTTATGTCTCAGAATTGCGAGGGTTCGATGGATTGCCTAGTAAATATGCGTCGTAAAAGATCCGCACTGGTTTAAGGCGACGGCACGTTATCGATGTACTTCGGAAAGTCGATGATCGACCATCGGATGAAGTTAATAAACTAGCTGCGGCACAAGTTTCGGTCGTACAGAGGATGAAGGTAGTCGCGGTGTTTCCCGTTGCAGCTCATCAACCTACGACGCGGCTAATAAATAGACAAAGTTCGTGGCTGCGTCGATACCTTCTTACACACGAACGCACGAGGATTTTGCCGAAGGCGTTCAAGTTTCCAGCGCAGGGCGTACGTGTCGGTAACTTTCTCCCTCCCTTCCCCCTCTCATCCGTGACATTTGTAACGGTAGTTCGGAGCTAGGGAAGAATCAGAGAACGACCGTGAAACTTTTAGAAATTCCAACGTTTCCAAAACAACATCATTGGATAGGAGGTACTCGCGTTTACTATATGAGGCACGTATTAGACTTTTGTAGGTTTCAAAAAATTTATTTAAAACAAAATTTCTACATGGTTACATCAGTACATATATGAACTATTTTTCTATGTAGTCGCCATCCCTCTCGATGCACTTAGATGAGGGATCAATTTTTGTATGCCTTCAAAGAAGTCTGCCATCGCCTCTTCTGCCCATTTCTTCATCTCCACCTTCACTTTTTTGTCAGTTGAAAATTTTTTCCCACCCATGTGCATCTTTAGCAGGGATGCCATAATGCTGGACTTCTCTTCTTGTTCTCTCCTCCATTTACGTTAAGCATGGCCATTGGAGACATGCCTAATAATGTCATATGTAAGTGGGGAGAGCACGGGTCCTGCATTTTGGCAGCCCTGATCTTCAGAAAAGTGAACAGGTGATAGTCTGAAGGCGTCAGGTTATGGTGGTTCAAAACGTCCCATTCGAATGACTTCAAAAATTGCTTTGTTGCGTTGGCCATATGGCATTGTCGTGCAGAAAGCAGACTCCCTTCGTCAGCAGTCCCCTCCTCTTGTTCTGAAATGCCCTTTTTAGTTATTTTAAGGTCTCACAATACCTAGAAACATTAAATACCTAGAAAATGATGGATAACGCTCCGAATCTTGTACTGGGCGGCTGATTTTATCGAGAGACGTTACTATGGCCATAGTTTTGGTCATACTGACGCGTGATTGGGCTCGTTGGACAGGG